CCTCTGAGGTTGCCCGGCATCATCATCACAATTCACTATTCTCCCTAGCTTAGTATCATTTACAAGTTTAAAGACTTTGCCAAATTGTTTACTTAAGTCAGAAAATGTCAGGGCCCCGAACACATTTTCAAATTGTTTCCAATCTGAGAAACACCCATCTATCTCCATCTTCTGTTTCCTATCTTTTAGCCAACTTCTAATCCATGCTGCCAAAGGATCCATCCCAAATATTTCTATTTATTAATGAACTTGCCATGTGGCACTGTATCAAATGCTTTCTGGCCCAACCATTTTCAGCTGCTTCATCAATGACCTTCCCTCCATCATAAGGTCAGAAGTGGGGATGTTCGCCAATGATTGCACAATGTTCAGCACCATTCGTGACTCCTTAGATACTGAAGCAGTCCATGCTCACATGCAGCAAGATCTGACAATATCCAGGCTTGGGCTGACAAGTGACAAGTGCCATTCATGCTACACAAATGCCAGGCTATGACCATCACTAATAAGAGACAATCTAACCACCACCCCCTGACATTCAATGGTGTTACCTTCACTGAGTCCCCCACTATCAACGTCCTGGGGGTTACCATTGACCAGAAACTCAACTTGACTCACCACATAAATATAGTGGCTACAAGAGCAGGCCAGAAGCTGGGAATACTGCTGCAAGTAACTCATCTCCTGACTTCTCAAAGTCTGCCAACATCTACACATCAGGAGTGCGATGGAATACTCCCCACTTGTCTGGATGGTTGCAGCCCCAACAATACTCAAGAAGCTTGACACCATCCAGAACAAAGCAGCCCGCTTGATTGGCACTACATCCACAAGCATTCACTCCCTCCAGCACCGACGCTCAGTAGTAGCAGTGTGTACTATCTACAAGATGCTCTGCAGAAATTCACCAAAGATCCTCAGACAGCACCTTCCAAACCCATGACCACTTCCAACTAGAAGGACAAGGGCAACAGACATATGGGAACACCACCAGCTCCAAGTGCCCCTCCAAGCCACTCACCATCCTGACTTGGAAATATATTGCCATTTCTTCACTGTTGCTGGGTCAAAATCCTGGAATTGCCTCCCTAATAGCATTGTGGGTCAACCCACAGCAGGTGGACTGCAGTGGTTCAAAAAGGCAGCTCACCTCCACCTTCTCGAGGGTAACTAGGGATGGGCAAGAAATGCTGGCCAGTCAGCATTATATTTCCAAGTCAGGGTAGTGAGAAATGCTGGCCACATCCCACAAATGAACAGAAAAAAAAATTCCAAGTATTCAATATCTACAGCACTGTGCTCTTCCACAGTGTCACTTCATCAAAGAACTCAATCAAATGGAGGTTAGATAGACCTTAGGTTTAGGGTAAAAGTTTGGAACAACATTGTGGGCCGAAGGGCCTGTACTGTTTGTACTGTTCTATGTTCTATGTTCTAAATCCAGCCACTGTAGGTTTTTCTGAGTGAGCTCAGTGTTTTTCGGATTCCTTTCTCGGATGCCATTTCGATTGGCTAATGCCTGAATATCAGGATAGCTACTCTCACTTGTCCTCTTAGGTATTTGATTGTATGGAAATGTAAAGAGTTTCCAAGATATCAATATGAACCAATATTCAAATCAGATTCTCTGGCTACTTCACTCACTTACCAGTCGGGACAAAACTGGTATCACATTTATCTGGATACCTTCAGTGACTGCATAATGAAGGTAATCCAGTGAAAGTGCTTTGTGACCTCCTAATAACATGAAAGACAGTTAGATTTTTAAAAATTTATTGGTTTAAGGTCCTTTAGAAAGTAAGCAGTTACTCTAATGTAAAGTTTTTTGTCTATTCACTCTTAATTCTGGCCGAGACTGATTATGCAAAGTTATGTCTAATTCAATTTCTACTTCTGCTTTGATAAGGCAATTACACACCAGAGATGCAGAGCACACTCTCATGCTCAATAAAGCATTTCTGTTGAAAGGGACATTTGCTCTTCATTAGAGCAGACCTTAACAGACACAGATTAAAGTCAACTCCCAGGCTGTGAAGAGAAAGGTTTCCAATCATTTCTCTTATTTGATGCGAGACAAATTGACAGCCAAAAGGTGGAATGAATGATGGCAGGATTAACATCTGCTGTAGGAGATGGTAACCTTACACTGATTTCAATTGTCAGCTGGAATCCTCTGGAGTTGAATGCTCACATTTGTTTGTAATTTGCAGTCAGCACGCTTGTTTAACATTTTAAAAAAATTCTCCCCCTTAAATAAAAGAAATAGGAGCTGAGGTAGATCATACTGTGAACCACAATTGCCTGTCAGGTATTGAGTTCAAATAAATCATTTGCGTTAGGAAATATGTACCCTATGTGCACTGAAATAGCAGTTCTTTGTTGATCTTTGATATTGGAGCAAGGCCATTTACTCTAAGTCTGTTGCACCATTAAATTAGATCATGTCTTGTTTCAAGAAATAACCGTATCTACCTGCTCTGGTTCAATATCCATTGATACTCTAGCTGATCAAAAATATTTATTGCCGTTGTGAAATTTTTGACCAAATCTTAGCTTCTGTAACTTTTTGGGAAAGTGGAGGAGAGAGTTCCAGATTTCCACAATGATTTGTGTGAAGAATCACTTTTAGACATTACACCTAAGCAGTTTGGCTTGTTAAAATTAAGATCATCTGAAAATAATGTTAAGATTAAACCCTTTTACTTTGGATGTACCTATCAGGGGACAGTGTTTCTCTATATCTACACCATGAAATTCTATCGTAATCCATCTTAACCACCTCAATTAACTCTTTCTCCACAGACATTGCCATAATATACTTCCAGAGTTTTCAGGTTTCCTGCATCCAACATCTGCTGCATTCTGTTTTCCAATTAAATCACCCATTTAATTTCTATACTCAAGGGAATACAAACCTAGTGTGTAAAACCTAGTCTATGTAGTGTGACACAAAGCTGGTGGGAGGGTGGGCTGTGAGGAGGGTGCAGACTTGCTTCAGAGTGATTTGAGCAATTTGAGTGAGTGGGCAAAATCTTGGCACATGAAGTATATTGTGGATAAATGTGACTTTATCCACTTTAGTAATGGCTGTAAATTTAGAGGGGGAATATATAGCAAGAACTTGGTGCCCTCGTACACCAGTTCCTGAAGGTAAGGCTAGGATTAGACAAGGTAGATGCAGGCACGATGCTCCTAATGGTGGAGGAGTGCAGACCACGGGTCACAGTCGAAGGATGTGAAGTAAATTTTTTAAGACTCAGATGAGGAGAAATTTCTTTACCCAGAGAGTGGTGAGCCCACAGAATTTGCTACCACAGACAGCAGCCGAGGTCAGAACATTGTATGATTTCAAGAAGGAGTTAGATATAGCACTTGGGGCTAAAGGGATCAAAAGATATGGAGGAAAAGCATGAACAGGCTATTGAGTTGGATGATCATTGATGATCATAATGAATGGTGGAGCAGGCTTGCAGGGCTGAATGGCCTACTCCTGCTCCTATTTTCTATGTTTCTAACCTGTCCTCATAATCTTACCTTTACAACCCTATTGGACCCAGATCTGGGCCTATTTTCACCATACGGGTTAAATCAAAATCGGGGCAAATGTAAACTAGACACTACTAATGAAAGAAGCAGCCTCGTCTGAGAAGTCAATGCATTCACATTGTTTAACTTTGTACGGTTTGGATGGTCACCCTAAGTGGAGTCAATCATGTGAGCATATTCAACAGTTCCTCCCTTGGTTCGATGTTTATTTATTTCAATGACACCTCTGTGAATTTCTTTTGCGATATTTTCAGTGTAATAAGTGGTGTTTGAAGTTTTTGCTGTTTGTGCAAGGAAATCACTGAGAATCCTGGCTTCCCTTTGAAAGCTGAAGAAAGAACTGGTAAAAAGAACAGGGAACTCTGATTGTGTCAGTGATTATTTGTGAATAAAGTTCTTGCTGTTTGTGCAAGGGCAACTTCTTCCAATTTACTACCTCTTTGTTTCTGGCGGATAATGCGTAGATAGATAGTTTGCCTTTATTTCTCAATAAAATTAAATTAATGAGTTAAATATTCTGAGTTAACATCTGGCATGAGTAGAAAATAGGAGCTGGTGTGATGTTATGAGTACAACTGCACACATGAAGATGGATCATGGCACCAGCTTTGTGTTGGGAATATACATTCCACGTGGGGAAAAGCCACTTCAGCAAGATCCTGAAGGTGTCCAGTCTGTCTGGAATCCCATCACAATGGTACTCATTCATGTACAGAAAATATAAGCATGGTATTGTAATTCTAACATAATGCATCATGAAGTTCTGGGTATTGTATTCATCACTGCTTTAACTAAGTCACTCTGCTACAATTTCCAATTTCACGTATCGGCCAGAGGGTGAGTAGATGAGCCAAGCCACTTTCTCATCATTGTCTAGGCAATTTGTTGAGTGATATAAATAACCACAGTCTTCCAAATTTTCTCAAGGGCCTGAATTAATGTAGAAAGATGACTACAACACTGAAACAGTTGATTTTGGGAAATGCATTCCAATCACCATTCATATGGGCCTCTCAGCAGTCTCCAGCCAGTGCCCTTCAGATACATCTTCTTCTGGTGTTAAATCAGTTCTCTTGGATTGTTAGGCTCAGTAACTCTTCCCCAGCCAGACCCATTGTGTTGCTATCTCCAGCCATGGCAATTGAGTTTTTACACCCAGCTGGACTGAATCAGTGGAAGCTATGACCCAATTGTCTTCATTCTCATCATTTTCTTACCTGGTTATCAATCCTGGATCAACAGTCAATGCACCTCAACAGTCAGTGTTCCACCTGTGCCCCCTCCTCCCCCATTGCCCAGCCCCACTCTCCTTCACAATGTTCTTCTTCCTTAAGCATTGGTTGCCTTAATTTTTAAATTTTAGAACTAGAGAATGCCAGGAAAAATGAACATACATGGTAAGGTATTCATATTAGCACATCAGCATAATAAAAAGAATGAAGAAGCTCGATTACCTTCTTTGCTCCAGTCAGAGCCGATTTCTGTAGTTTACGGTAGCAGTACTTAGCATACGTGCTAATAGCAACACCTATTAAAGAGGAATAGAAAACCATTAGACATGGGACATACACCAGGTGTCACAGTGGGGAGCAAGGTGCATGCGAGCTAATGTATGTTTTTTTTAATTTCTCCAGAACATCACTGTTTTTCAGTGCAACTATTCGATGATTTAGCATTGAAAAGAGATGCTCAATGTTGATCAAGACAAAAGGGTGTCACAATTCCTTTGACTGAGTAGGATATACATTGAGGATCTGACCCTCTGTATCTTGGTGAGGCATTAGGTGCTCAAATGGGGTAAAGTCTCTCTTGGCTGGCCTGGAAAATGGATGATCTGACACTAGGTGATACTGGCTGGAGAAAACCTTTAGGTTAGTTGGATATTCCGTGCGAATCCTAACTCCCCATGGCTATTGATCTGAGGAGAATTCTGATGGTTTGAGTCAAGTTGGCTAGCAGGAGGAATATTTTATGCAACCCCAATTCCAGAAATGTTGTCATCTGACGGAATAATCACTGTTCCCACTTCTTATCTGTCACTTTATCTTAATTGATATTATAGCCCGTCTTCTTCAGACCTTCTAAGCTACACATTGTTACTGTCCACACTTCCTCCTTTAAGGTGTTAACATGGTTTTAGTATTATCTTCCCATTGAGTTAAAAAATTATGGTTTCTGGTCTAAACCACTAGGATTTGATCTGCATAATCTCGTCTGGTACTTCAATTTGGCAAAGAGGAGTGCTGGATTATTGTCTTTTGGGGAGCTGTTAAATTGGGACTCCAGTACAGATGGAATTTGAAGATCCTTAAGGTCTTATTTCAAGAACAGTTACAAATTTTCTCCCTCATGTCTAAGTCAACATTCCTCCTCCAAGCTAACAAAAGAGAAAAACAGATCATTTATATAATACTCAAGATATCAGTATTTGCAAATAGGTTACCATATTCATCTGCAGAACAATGACACATTACCAATTACTATTGTGGTTGTGAAGCAATTTGGGATGTCCTGAATAAATACAAGGGGTATTATTAATGCAATTTCCTATAGCCTCATTATGCTGAGATAAAGGTTGATGACATTATTTCCTCCAGCTCCTGAAACCTTGTCTCCAAATATAAGCCAGTGCTCCTTTCTCAACTTCCTACTTGTATTCATCATGGACATGCCTAACTAACAAAGCAGGCAGGGACCTCATCCAAAACCAAAACAAATACTGCTCGAAGGGGCATGTCAGTTTCTCAGTGAGTCTCAATGTAATGTACTCTCACTCCCTGTTGAAAAACCCCATGTCCTTCACTTGCCTATCTTCACAAAGATTTAGACCAACAACTCACTCCATGATTTAGTACAATTTTCTCAGCCTATTCTGCTGTTACAGGATTTCACTGTCTCTTAACAAGGAATTTAAACAGATATTATTAAACACTCAGAGTAGCTGCACTCACAGCTCAAATAAAGAGCATGGCTCCTATAATGGCATCACACAATTTATACTTGATTTATACTTTACAAAGATGAAAATTTGGGATGTATCCCATGTCTTGTTCGGACTTAATTAATAACTCTACTTGAAGTCAGGCAGAGATTTTTCTAATGTCCTATTGAGCAAACCTTTCTTAACTAACAGGGTCATAAAGCAGATTAACAACTCAATCTATCACGGATTCTGTGGTCATTCTGTGCAATCAGCCTTTATTTCTCTAAACAATAAGTGGCTAATGCAAATTTTACTTTTTGTCTAATTTTATAGGGATGTAGATGTTGCTGGCAAGACCAGCATTTGTAGCCCATCCCTAATTTCCCTTGAACTGAGTAGCTTAGTAAATTGCTTCAGAGGGTAGTTAAGAACCAACCACTTTTCTATGGATCTGAAGTTACTTGTAAAGCAGATTTGGTAAAGAGAGCAGATTTCCAGCGAACCAGATAGGTTTTTATGATGATCAATGATAGCATTCAATTTCAGATTTTGTTACTGAATTTAAATTCCATCAGCTGCCATGGTAGGATTTGAACCGCTGCCCCAGAGCAGTGGTCTGGACTTCTGGATTATTAATCCAGTTAAACTGCCACTTAACTAGCTCTCCCCCGCTCTGGACAATATCATGTCATATTAACATAACAATATCACATTAATATCTCACAACACTTTTAATTGTTCTAGTGGATCACAGGGTTGCTTTTTCATTTGAGAGAGATGACTAGTAGTGAATTTAATCTGAGGGTCACAATGCCACAGGTGAGGGACAAGCTTAAGAGGGCAGGTCATTGATGGGGTCAGTTAGCTGGACGGCTGGTTTGCGATGCAGAGTGAATCCAACAGTACTAATTCAATTCCCACACCAGCTGAGGTTACAATGTAGGTCCCACCTCTCAATCCCTCCCCTCACCCGAAGCATGATGACCCTCGGGTCAAACGCACCACCAGTTATCTTTCTTTAATGAGACAACAGTCCTATGGTCGTCTGGGACTACAGTGACTTTACCTTTTTTAATTGTTGCAGTGATAGAACTATGACATTCTATATTTCATCCCAATTTTGCATGACATAGAAGTTATAGCACAGAAACAGGCCATTTGGCCCAACAGGTTATGTTCCCACTCTTCATCCAATGCTGTCAGCATAACCATCCTTGTAGAAACACAGAAACACTTGTATTACAGAAGGCAGCTATTTAGCTCATTTTGTTAGTGTTTGCAGAGATAATATTTCAGTCTAAACCAATCTTCCGGCACACAAAGTACATACCTTAATGATTTTTTAAAAATGCTGCAACGGTTTCTGCCCCTATCACCTATTCAGGCAATGAGTTCAAGACACCCCACTACACTCTGAAAGGAAATGTTTCTCAACTTCCCTCCAATCAATGCAGCAATGGCTTTAAATCTAGGTCCCCATGTTGCTTCCTCTCTGCAAATGGAAATAAATCCTTCCTATCTACTCTGTCTAGGCTGCTCATAATTGTACACATCTCAATTAAATCTACCCTCAGCTTCTTCTTTTCCAGTGAGAACAACTCCAGCCTTTCTTTCCTCACAGCGAAAATTCTTCATTCCCAGCACCAGCCTTGTAAATTCCCTCTTTACCTTCTCTAGTGTGATTATGATTTTCCTTTAATGCAGTGACCAGAATTGTATGTAATGGTCTAGCTGCTCTAAGTAATGATTACTGCCCACAAGCTTACATCTGTGCTAAAAAAGAGTGTGCTTTTTTGATCACCTCATCTAAATGTCCTGCTACATTCATAAATCTGTCAGCATTCACTCTGAATTCCCTTTGATTCTCTACACTTCTCAAGAATCCTGTTATTGATTAAATATTCCGTTACCTTGTCTGTCCTCCCCAGTTGACATTACCTATCGCTGCTCTGAATTAAATTTTATTTACTGACCAATACATTGACATCCTCCTACAGCTCACAGTGCTCTTCCTTTCTATGAATCATATGGCCAATTGTCATACCATCTTCAAAATTCTTAACCGAGTCCCCTACAGTTAAGTCTGAATCATTGGTGTACATCATGAACAGTAAGTGACCCAGGCTGAGTCCTGTGGAACTCATTCACAAAAATGCTGTCAACCAGAACACTTTGCTTCCTGCCACTAAGCCAATCTTATACCTAATTTGGTATCACATAAGTTTTCCCTGGATCACATAAGTTTTTAACTTTCTGACCAACCCACCATAAGCAAGCATGGTGGCTCAGTGATTAGCACTGCTGCCTCACAGCGCCAGGGGCCTGGGTTCAATTCCACCCTCGGGGAACTGTCTGTGTGGAGTTTCTACATTCTCCCCATGTCTGTGTAGGTTTCCTCCCACAATCCAAAGATGTGCAGGCTAGGTGGACTGGCCATGCTAAATTACCCATAGTGTTCAGGGCTGTGTAGATTAGGTGGGTTATAGGGGGATGAGTCTGGGTGGGATGCTCTAAGGGTTGGTGTAGACTTGTTGGACTGAAGGGCCTGTTTCCACACTGTAGGGATTCTATGATATGGGGACCTTGCCACAAATCTTGCTAAAATCATTTGGATTACATCAAAAATCTTAACCTAATTGTTACTTCCTCAAAAAATTCAAGCACTTTAGGTAAACATTAACAAATCCAGTTCTGAGGAAGGGTCACCAGACGCGAAACGTTAACTCTGTTTTCTCCTTCACGGATGCTGCCAGACCCGCTGAACTTTTCCAGCAACTTTGTTTTTGTTCCTGATTTACAGCATCCGCAGTTCTTTTGGTTTTTACCAACAAGTTCATGTTGACTGTTATCAATTTATACCACTCTAAATGACAATTAACTTTCAGAACTTTTACCAATATTTTGCTGAGATTAATTTGACTGGTCTGTAATTACTTATGTTATTTCTTCCTCCCTTTCATCAACAATAGTACAAACGCTGGTCCTCCAGCACCATTCCTGTAACCACAGAGGATTAGAAAATGATGGTCAGAGCTTCTGCTATTTCTTCCATTGATACCCTTAACATCCTGAAATACATACCATCCGAGGCTCATGATTTATTCACATTCAAAGATGTTAATTAAACACTTTAACATTTCCTCCCTTGCTACAACCAATATGTTTCACACTATTTCTTTGCAAAAGCAGGTCAGTGAAAAATACACCACATGATTCCACATAGCCCTTCCACCATCTACAAGACACAAGGCAGGAATGTCCCAGCAACACTCAAGAATTCTGATATCATCAGGACAACGCAATCCACTGGATTGGCTCCACATACACTACGTTAAATATCCAACCCCTCCACCACCAAACAACGTGGCTGCAATGCGCATTCCTTCACAAAAACTAGTGCAGAAACTTGTCAAAGTTTCTTTTAGCCAAGTCTTCAGAGATCTGAGTATTAAATTTATACTGGCACTCGAGTGCAGCATTGCACACCTGGAGATGCCATCTTATAGATAAGCCATTGAATATGAGGCCCTGAATGGGTATGTCCATTCAATAAGATCATAATTAATAATGATTACTCGACTTTCTCACCTACCCTGGATAACCCT